TCATTCAGATCAGGAGCATCACAGTGTACACTGTAGCCGCCATATGGCCGCATATGGTTTTCTGTTAGTTCGTAAAAAGCGAACTCACGCCCCAGTAAGTTGCGTGAGGCAACAGTTCGCACTTCTCCATTGGTTCCGATGAAATGACAGTACAGTTTCGGTGAAGGAATTCTTCTTTTTGCCAAGAAAATTCTAAGAACGCCATTCCTGTGTCCACTGGCTGAACGTTTCTCCGTGATATTGTCACTTTTCCGTTTATCCAGAAAGACGCTGTAAATGCCCACTTCTAATTGGGCGTCAAGCGCATGAAATTCACCGGTTGTGTCGATAAATCTTTCTTGTAAACCTTGACAACTTACTGGAACGTCACATTGTTTGTGTTGGACAGATGATTGTATGGGCGAAAATTGCATGAGAGAGAATGTAACTAGTCGCTTGGGGAAGGCAAAATGAAGCGTACAGAGAAGATTAATGAGAAACAGACACACAAAGGCACAGAAAAAGCCGTGTAAAAACTTGCTGTAGTTGCGTCCGATCATCCGGTCGAGGCAAAGATCTTGTGCGCACGCGAGATTAAAAATTTGACTAGTGTCAATAATTCCCAATCGCAGTAGAAGAGGTTGAGCAAATCATCCTTGCTCACTTCGTGTGCCAGCCAATAAGACGTGCTCTCCTGATGAACAAATCACGCCTGACGAGTTTTACTGTCTAAATGTGTATTCCACTCATGCGTGCGCTAATCAACGGAAGCTTGTGCAGGGCAAACGTGTTCCTCATTTTGTTTCTGACTGGCAAAACGATGGAAAATTAAAACCGACTAAATTAGAATCAAATACATTCAATTCATTGCATAAAATACGACGTTGAATTCAGTAGCATAATTAAAAGCTCTCGAAATGTACACAATTAGAGTACGTTATCCGGATTTTCGACTTTTTGATGAATGCACCTTTTAATAAAACAAAAAGTAAACATTTAATTGCATTGCCGCCAACGCGTTTTGAAAAAGCATACAGATAGGCACAAATGAATTAAAAGAACTTTCAAAGACTGCAGTGAATGCTGGTTTTATCATTGCCTATCTAGCAATTCAATTTAAAATTCTCTGTGAGTAGCATGTTACTCCATCGATTTACATGTGGCCTTACCGATTGAGTCCCAAAAAACCCGAACGCTCTTGTCTCGGAAAGGAGTATTCAATGGGTTCCATCTAGATCCACCAAAGATGACAATCTTGAAACCAAAAACTATTTGAAGCTCAAAAAAATGTCGCTTCTGCTTTCGATGTTGGTACTGCACTGGAAACAGTTCAAAAATTACGACATCTTCTCTACGCTTGGCGGCCTTCTCATTGAAAGTATAATGGATTAGTACTTTTCTTCTCGTTCCGAACAGAATCGAATTATTTCGGCTTTATTCTTGTGGAATGCATTGAGGGAAGCATAACGAGGCACACTCATATTAAGAACTCAAAGAAATGAGAAGAATTTTAGAAATCAGTAGGTGCAGGATATGCAATTGGGTGACTGGGATATGACTTGTTTAGGGGTACATCCGAAATGTTCAAGAGCATTTAAGCCGAAGACTATCAGCCACTGTGGAATAACCATGCAATGTCCATTCTGCAAAAGTAGTACTACAAGTAGTAGGCAAGAAAGATGCCTGAGCTTTTAGCTAGCACTTAAGCCGGGAGTAAGGTATGATATATTTAGCATATAATATACATTTCACTGATATTATTCAATTAACCCGCCCTGTCTCCCTTATCTTTGTCGCTACTACTTCATATATAGAAACATATATACACCCGAAGAATAGGGTTGGCTATCTTGATAAAAAGGAAGTCATCTACAAAATCCCATGCGAAGCTTTTGACATGGTATATTGTGGCCAAACAGGAAGACCTGTCTCTACACGCATCCACGAGCACCAATTGGCAGTGAGGAAACGTGATCATTTGGCCGAAGTGGCTATGGGTTGCGTTGACACAGGTCACACCTTTGCATGGGACAAAACATGCATCATCCGAGTTTGCACCTCCAAAAAGGCCGAGAATTTCTTGAGACTATGCACTCCGATGATTCATGCAGCAACCGGCGTATCGAGTCGGCTGGAGTGTGCAAACACCCCAAAGAAAGGTGGAAGAGACTGAAACCGGCAACTATGGACCAACATGAACCGCAGTTAGCGCTCACACCGAATGACCTAGATTGATCTCGGACCGACTCAAATAACAGTTGCCAATAAGCCATGACGACGTTGCGGCTCCTAATTATGTCCACCACGATGTGACGCAAATTGCAACTACAAATTAGCATCCGCACTAGACGACTCTATAACTGTATCTGCACTTTGAAATTTTCAGCGTTCTTTGCACCTTTTTCTCAAGTCTGACGACGACCTAGGGACCCATTGTCAAAAAGTTACTGAATAAATCTCCTCATTTTCTCAAAGGACGCCTTTCCCTGAAATAGATACACATTTCATATAGCAAAGATATTATAGCTTATGCACAACACATATAGTAGCTAAAAGCCGAGACACGTATTTCAGCAATAATTCTGCTGCTGCGTGATACAGCAACGAGTGGTTCAACTTCTCAGTGGGTCATCTTCCAGTGACCTACCTCCAAGTCACGAACTCAATAATTCAGTGATGATACCCCTGTCAGTATTTAGAAGTTAAGTTAGGGGATAAAACGTTTTGCATAAATTTAAAATCAGGCAATACAATAATATAAGGGTGGGTAGAGTTCACGAAAGTTTAAGCAGCCAAGGCAGCCGAAGGCTAAATCAACATCCGCCCCCACGCGTCTTACCGCGCATCCCCATGCCACTCATGCTGTTACGAGACGATTACACTTTGCATCCTCACATCTCCCAACAAAATGCGAGCCAAGGACGATGGGACGACATGAACTAGTTGTCGGATCACTTCTCTGCTCCCACCCTTTCCCCTATCTGCACCCAATCAAGACTAGAATGTGACCCCTTTGATCCCTTTACACACTCACCCCTGTCATCTCCCGAACTACTAATGAGTGACGCTTAAACTTTCGTCAACTCTACCCTCCCTTATATTATTTTATTGCCTAATTATGAATTAGTCGAAAACGTTCGTTCCCCTTACTTGACTTCTGAACTCAATTATTTCCAAAATTATTTCTTAGACTAGTATCTGAAGTTCAAGTAGCAGAAAACGCAAAGAGGACCCAGTGAGGAACGCAACCGACCGTCGTTTCGTCATGCAGCAACAAAAAAATCGACGAAACACGTGTCTATTTTAACTTTTTTGTTTTATAAAAGGGTTTCTAAATTGCCGAATTATTTTGAAACCTGGTGACTGCTTCACTGGAATTCTAGGTTTAAAAACTGCGCACTGTGTCCACGTTGTTTAAGGAAAAGTACGTTTTGGCCTACACTTTAAGGATGGAGTCACATAATTCTCATAAAATGTTGCAATATATATGGAGTATGCGTTAAAGAGTATAGGTAGCATTAATAAGCTGACGGATACGTTGTTATATGAATGAACACCTCACAGTTGTAAAAAAGTTCATAATTGGAATTTTTTCTTAAACCGAAGGATACCCTTTCTTTAAATGTAAAATTTAAAGCAGGCACCATTTTTTAAAAAACGAGTACAAGAGATAATTTTTCGTGCGTTTTTTTCCATAAAACGTATTTTAATTTATAAAGGTAGTAGATATCAATGA